ACCTTTTAAGCTTATTCAGACATCCCAGGCATGCCTTCTATTTGCTTGAGCAGCTCGCAACTCTCAGCTTTAAAAAACCCCCCATATTTCACAGTGCCTCATCGATTCCAACCTCTTTCTATACTTCAAGAGAGCTTTTGGAGAGCATGGCAGCTAAGTGAGACTGCAGATGTGCAGTTTGCCACCCAGGTGGGTGACAGTCGAGCCTCTTCAGCGTCCCCAGCTGCAAGGTAGGTTTATTGCTACTTTCTTCCCTTAGAGGTAGAGAGATGCTTAATTGAAGGTTTGTACAATGCTTTGAAGAGACCAAGCACTGCATTTAGGGCCAAAATTATTACTCTTGAGATGCCCAGGCACAGCCCTGAGGAGAAGAAAAACAAACCTCCTGAACTGGAGAAAGCAAGGGAAAGAAATGCACAGCTGCTTTTGGTTTTAATGTGAGGCACACAGAACTACAGTATTTACTCAGAACTGAAGTATTTGTTCAGAAGCAGCAGGGATTAGTGAAATCGCAGCTCCAGATCTTCCAAACTAGCATCCATGCTCTGCTTGTTTTGCCTTTTGTTTTTGCAATTTCTTGGAGGTTTATCAAACAAAGTATCAAACATCCACTGGTGATCCTCGCTAAGTCCTCTGGTTTGAACTGAAGTCAAAATGAGTGCAGTTCATGAGTTTAGGGGACTTCAGCACATGCAGTTTTTGTTTGAAGTCAATGTCTGCCTGCCTTTTAGACTGCATCCTAATGGCAAGGAAGCAAGGCCAGCCATCCCACATTATGCACTTTCCTCAGGAAAATTAATAACAACACTGACAAGCTACATAACAGAAGCCAGACGACCATTTAGGGTTGTAGATGAGATCATTTATCAGTCCAAACTCCAGAGCACAAGAGACAAATTTCCCTTCCTCAATCTCTCCCCAAACCATCAAGCCAGAGCTATGCTCTGAGGACCACAGGGCATGGCTCGATGGGCTGGGCAAGGTCACCAACACCCCATGCTCCCCAAGAAGCAAAAAACCCCAGCCTGTTCACACCAGCAACAGCCTCTCCAGAGAGAAGAACTCATGTACAGAGGGCTTGAGTGAGCCTGAGAGAGAAGAGTCTGATCAACCCACGCTTCCTCTGACCTGAAGTGGAATAAATCTGTAATTTTAGAAGTGACAGGTAACAGAGATGACAATACTATTGCTGTTGATGCAATGATACTGACAGTCAATGACCACACTGTACCTCTTTGACTCCTAACTTGGGTGTGAGGCAAGTTCACCATGAGTGCAGATGGCAGAAGATGGGATCTGGCCCACAATCTCTGACATCATCTGCAAAATAATACACTCTTCACTATTTTAGGAGCACAGGACTTGTATTAAGTCCTGTCAACAAATGTAAAAAAAAAAAATAAATTACAGATTCAAGAAAATGTGGAATTTTCCCCATCTGTCAGAGGACATCTTCATTTCTGGAGCCCCTCCTTGTGCAAACTGAAGATACTTCAGCAGGTTGGTATTAGGGTTTCCCTCCAGCATCGATGTAGCATTCTAGTTACCAGCTAGCAGAGCTAGCTCAGCTTACGAGAGGATGAACTTGTGTACTATGAATGTACCTGCATCTTTTTTTTTTTCTTTTGTAAGGGGAGTAGGGATATGATTTTAGCAGTTTCAGTCTCAAATAAAGGATCCCATATGCTCAGTCTGTTTTGGGGTCTTCAAAAACCAGATCAGTGGGATAGCAGCCAAAGCCAACACAGGGACCTGATGCAATTTATTGATTTTTGGTGGTGGTGATCCCTCCAGACCCTCAAGAAATAATAAACCACTCAAACTGAAGTCTGAGAACAAGCAACTGGTCTACAGGCCCTAAGGATGTCTTGGTTTCATTTCCACTGTAAATAAACCTCAGGCAGCATGAATGCCGACATACAAATACCAGTTGTCCCTAGAAATAATTCATAATACAAAATTCTGCAGTGAAGAAATGACAGATGGAAATAAATGCTTTCATTTCTCTGAAAAAGGGACCATCCATCAACAAAAATTCCTTTCTCAGACCCCCAGATCCAACCTTTCCTTACTCAAGTCATACAACGTGAACATTAAAGAAGAATTCACTTGAAAAGTCATTTTGGGTGGCAGTAAAAACCCTGTTAATTAGTATAGCAGTCAATTTTTAAAGGTTGCTGCAAAAAATTATGCTCATGAACAAAATGCTTCTCTTCAAATTGAAATCAGTGCCTGCTCAGCATAAAGAAAAATAATTGAATGGGTGGCTCAACTTTCATGCTTTCAGAGGTAAGTTGTCCCCATTGGTTTTCATTATGGATTCTATCAGGCATCATAAAACAATGCCTCAGCTGTACTTGCTTGTGCCAGTCAAGCACTGAGATGATCAGCTTTCTTCTATGGACTTGTGGCAACAGAGAGGAAAAACATTCATTGGGCCAGACTACCTGGCCAATAAGTACCTGGAGACAGAATAAATTAGCAGTACCTATTTACAAGTACTGCTTCCAGAAAGAGAGATTAACCTTGTGACTAAGCAGGACTTCACTGTCTCCAGAGCAGAAGAAATTAGCTCAGTCTTCAACGGGACATTCACAGTTTTAAGGTTCATCCAAGCATGTCAGGATCCATACTTACATTACGCAGCTGTTTGGTATATTAAGAAGGCAATAGGGGAAGAACTAAACCCTGGGTCGATGATTATTGCAGAAATTCAATATTCAGAATACCAAAAACGAAGGTGAAGACCCAGTTCCTTTGCCTGTGTCTCACTGTGGGACAGGGCATTGGATGCCATCTGCAATCTCTGCACGTCCACAGCAGTGCTCCTGGCAACTGCTTAACCAGCTTGCCGAAGTACAACATTTGTAGCTACTGCTCACTGCCGCTCTTCCTCTGTTATTAAATACAGCACCACTAATTGCATAAAATGGAGTCATACTTTTTAATAAAAAATTAGATAAATTTAAACTATTGTACATGTCAAAATTATTAACCTCCAGAGACAAGCTGAGCACAATCTGGTCCTTCTTGGTTCCCCCCACTCGCTTGCCTTCCTGGATATATTGCTCATTTGTTGAGCAGCTTTTCTAAAGAACATTTTAAAAACACATGATTCCAAACCTCAGTTGCAAACGGGACTAATCTCATTTGCTCTCTAAATATCTACAGCTAGCTTATTCCTGCATACATTTTTCATCAGCCATCACTTTGAATATTCATGACCTCTTACTCCTAGACCACACTGTAACTGCAGAGACACTTACATTCAGGGGCTCAGAGTGATTTTTGACTCCATCAACAACGAATGTAGGCTCAGTGGGAGGATGACTGGCCAGCCAAGGATTTGGGAGGAGCACGGAGGTATCCTCAGTGTCATTGACTTGGACAGGTACATGCTGAGCACGCAAAACCACTGGCTGAGCACAACCTGCTGGCTTTGGGAGCTGCATGCCCCCCCAGCTCCAGTCTGCAGTGGAGCATGTGCCCATACGTAAACCTGGTGGCTAGCAGGGCAGGTCTGGATGTGAAAGTACCTTTGGGCTGAACAGTGTTAACATCCCCAGGTCCACTGCAGAGGCCCTAGAAAGTGAGGCTCCACCTGGAAGTGCAGGGAGGGTCTCTGCAGCAGTCTCTGAAGAATCACGTCGCCTTGCACCGGTACCCACGTACTCTCAAACCCCCAGGGACTGGTATCTTACTGGACATGACAAATTTCATACCACTTGAGATGGTTTGAATATCTGCTAAAAAATATTTATTTCCCAGGGTTCTAGATTTCTGACCTCTATGCAAGCTAACAACCAAATTGTGGGCAGTAAGAGCAAGCATTTGTTTATTTTGTAAGAGGACTTATTGCTGCTAATTGAAAACAAGCATTTTCAATAAGGCAGCTGTTTCAGTACTGTGAATAGACAGATCAGCATCACACTGAAGATCTAATAACCCGCTAATGAACCTTACTTTTTAGAGCCCCCTCCCTCACCCATTTTCACATTTCAGTAATTTCAAAACCAACAATATGTGCTGCCAGAGAGTTATTTAAGGATGTCCCCTAACGTCTTTTAATGAAAACCAGAAAAATTGTAACTTTTTCCTTAGTTATCAGAGTATATTAAAAGCCTTGTTACACGTATTTAACAATTTCTTTTTTTTTCTTTTCTTAAATAAATAGCAAAGTGTCACCAAAATTAATGGAACGCGAGCACCATCGCATTGATAGAAATTTCCATACTAGGATGAATACACACTCATATTCAGTAATATTGCATAAAAAGATACTTTGGAGGAAAGGTGGCAATTGCTGGTGCATCTCAGGTGGTGAAAGCATCAACCTGTGAAAGGTCTCTGCAGTGGTATCGTGATATGTTGCCTTTGCAAAACCTCAGAGGCCTGAACCAGGTGGCTGCAGAGGTGGCCTCAGTGAGATGCTGCAAGAGAGCAACTTGCAGGACATCCAACGCAGGACATAGACTTACCTACTGCCCGCTACCAAGAGCAGCACAGCCGATGGCGTGACACAAGCGGCTGTCGCTCTCTAGGCAGGAGAACAATGGCTTGAAACGAGGGAAATTAACAACATTAAAACCAAACAGGCTGACTAACACTCAGCAAGGCAAGGGCTTGGAGAGTTGAAGCTGCCATCTCCTTAATCAGGAGGGAATGATGCAAGGAGTCACTGTTACATTGACGGTTACAGAACCAGGTGTCCTTTTCTGATGGGTTTCCCCGGGCTGAGCTGGTGTTATTGTCACATTTGACCAACAGCTTCTCTTCCAACTGAGACAAAACTTAAAAAAGACACAGTGCTGAAGAAATACCAGCCACATGTGCCACACCAGACAGATCCCTCAACAGCCTCTGCTGCCTTTAACTCACTCCACCATGCGCAGGCAGCACTGCCTACTTGCTGCTTTGCCAGAGTGGCCACCCCTCCACACGGTGGAGTGTAGTGCAGTCCCACCTCTCTGCTTCTGTTGGCTTAAACCAGACCCTTGTTCTTTTAAACAGGAGTTTATTGTATTTAATACATTATAAAATTTGAAAAAATTGTAGGAAAGCAGCAGATTCAAACCAGAGCATCTCTACCAAATATTAATTATTCTGGCCCCCTTTGAAAAACACAAAACAAAAACAACAAAAAAACTAATTCAAAAGAAAAGTTAACCTTTCACATCTGTGAGGGCAGACAAAAAGTGTGCGACTTCTGTACAAACTACATTTAAAATTCAGTTGACAAGCTTTCCAATGCCATGGATGGTCATCTCCTGAACACCTCCCCAACCACCTCTAAAAAAGACAGACATAAACCTCCATATGCAAATAAAGTTGAATCAAGGTGTGTACACATTAAAAAGTGGATGGCTGTTTGGCAATGGAAAATGGGTGAAGAGTAGTCTATGAACCCCCCATGGCAATGGCTTGTACACCGTTAAGTGGGCCCGGGTAGGGCCTAGGACACTTAATGGCCATCACAGCACCAACCTCATCTACCACTTTTTTTTCATTGCATTTCCTACCCCTTGACATATACATACATATATATATGTACAGACATACATATACATACATATTTTTTATGTGTGTGTGTTTTCTTTTATATCTTGAGGTTATTATTATTATCATCACTACTATTCCAAGTGTTCCCATATGAATTCAGGTGTGGTCTCTATATTCGATATAAATGCGTCTTTTATTCAATTTTAGTTCCAGGACTTGTTTGGAGTCCAAACTGCACATGAAAAGTCCCCTTTTGTTTTCCTCTTTGCTTTCTTCTTTTTTTTTTTTTTTCTGCATAAAGAAACATGTCCATTTTAGTCCAGAGGCTCTTGCTTTATTCGAATGACAGAGGGTGCACGAGATGTCCTTCTGAGTTCTCGTCTCAGTACGTATTCACTGAATTGGGAAGAGTCCACCCCACCTCCACATGAGCCAACAATCTCAAACCCTCTTTGCTGTAACCTCTCAAGTACCTGCAAAAAAGAGGAAACAAACACTAACATATAAGTAAATAAACAGATTATTTGCTGTCCAATGATAATAACTGGTGTTTTCAAATGGATTCAGCTAGGAAACAAAAGTGGTTACACAGCCTAATTGTATTGGACTGATTTCTGCCAACTATGGCCACTGAGCAATTAAGAAGAAAAATGAAGGATTGCACAGCCAGTGTGGGCAGATTTCTCAACTAAATGGTGACAATGTAGATACCATGGTCATAATTTCAAAAAAGTTATCATGATATTTACTGGAGACTTAAAAACCAACTGTGATTCTGAAGGTTTGTGGTTACAGTTACCTATGGTAAAATCTGAGACCTTTTAACTTTAGTTATGGAACTAATGAGTTCTGTTTATTCACTTTCTTTCCTCCTTTTTCACAAAGCCAGAGTGTTGCTTCCAGTGGGAAATATGATGGCAAAAATAAGAAAGAAAAAAAAAGAAAAACAATATCCACAAGTTAAAAAGAAGAGACGGGCAGGGCTCTTGGAGTGGCAGGGGGATGCACCCAACACAGCTCACTCAACAAATGATGGTGCAAAGACCTCAGCTCCCAGCACTGGCTCCAGTGCTTAGGAGGCTGCTTAGAGCATGGTCTCCTTCCACACCACTATTCCACCTTTTTTAAATGACCCATGTTCACACTGGTTTACCGTAACTGCAGGTCTGAGACATTCTTTCCTTTATTTACACTCTTTGTTACTTTTATGATCATCTATTCTGCTGCCTGGACTTCCTTTGCCTCACCTATGAAGGAGACTCTTCCAGGGATTCACCAGGGTCAGCTGTGACAGCCACCAACCCCAAGGAGGAGGCTAATGCTCCTGGATCCCACAGGACATGGGACCCTCTGTTCAGCAGAACAGGACCTCATCAAGGTTGTGCTGGGAGCAGGTGCCTCCCAAGGCTTTCCTAGCTATTTCACCACTTGTCAAATTGGCTTGCATGGGTGCTGGGACAGCACGGGCAAGCAGAACAGCAGAAGTCTGCAAAGGATTATGGTGGGTGCAGAAGCAAGCTGTGGTTCAAAAATGCTTCAAAGACATGCTGTGTTTTTACATAAAATGCTCCAGGTCGGCAAATGTTTTTTGAAATTACCTGAGCATGGCTAATTACACAGCAGACATATCAAAAAGAAAGGGTTGGAAAAAGAGGCTCAGAAACACCAATTGAAACACCTGTGCAATTTTTGTTTACCCTGTTCTTTAGCTTTTAGCAACATAAGCCAAAATTCCCACTCCTGCCCTCCCAAATATCTCAGTGTAAGCCACCTAGATAGAACAGGAGAGCTTGGGTCCTGAGAAAAAATGTGGGGGAAGTAACTCTGTAAACTAGCACAGCCCTGGACAAAACATTTGGTCTGTACCTCACTCTCTGCTTAGACTGTCTATTGGTAGTCCCTGTCCTGTCTCACATTGTTATTAGGACTGGGAGATGCTTATGTCCCCCCAAAATGGAAGATGCAGCATTATTAATGTGAGATCATCATCTCTCTTGAAGCCTGTGCATATTTTGCCACTCTGACTCAGGTTTTTCACATCAGTAAATATGCTTGGCAATTCTTATTTGTGAAACAAAAATGTAAGCATCAGAATAAGTGACAAAACGCTGAAGGATACAACTCCTTTGAGAACTATCATATGACATGTAGCTAAATAACCCTCCTTGAAAGTCCTATCCCTTTTCAGTTGTAATCCTATATCCAAGGCTGTTCTAAATTTGCATTAATGGCTATGACAAAAGCCATTTTGATGTTTCAGTATGACAGCAAAGCCAGTAAGAGACAACTGTCCAAGCGTAACATGAGTTATCTAGACCTATCTAGATACTTTTAGACAGGTCTACCAGACACTTATGTTAAGTGCTAGCACAAGTGCAGTGCCTGGCCAGCCTTCAGTCCATGCCCCAGTGCTCAGCTTGCTTCATCTAGAGAAAAGGAGAATCAGGTTTGACCTTATCACTCTACAACTACCTGAAAGGAGGTTGTAGCCATTTGAGGGTTGGCCTCTTATCCCAGGCAAATAGTGACAGGACAAGAGGAAATAGCCTCAAGTTGTGCTGCTGGGGGTTCAGGTTGGACATCAGGAGGAATTTCTTCACTGAAAGGGTGGTTGAGCATTGGAATGGACCGCCCAGGGAAATGGTGGAGTCACCATCCCTGGAAGTGTTCAAGGCATGACTGAACGTGGCACTTAGTGCTGTGGTTTAGTTGACATGGTGGTGTTTTGTTCAAAGGTTGTGATGCCTTAGAATTCTCCAGAATTCTAAGGCATTAGCAGGACTTGGTGATCTTTTCCAACCTTAATGATTCTATGATTCTTTACCTGGACAGAAGGACCTGGCAGATGAAAAGACAGCAAGTTTAGCTTGCAAACCTGTTCTCTATAAGAATTCTCTCATGAGTCTGCAGAGTTTAGGAGGTGTGTCCAAACCTAACAGCATTGATTGTGCTAGTGATGATTCCAGATGTGAAGTGGTCACACTCCAAAGTGTCGCCTATGCAGGATGTCTAACTAGGTGCAGGTAGGTGTGTGAGGTTGGTTATTTTTAACCAAAAAAGGACAAAACACATGACCCTGTTATAATTATTCCAGAAATTACCTACATTTATCTCCCAGGTTTTTTCTTAATAATTTTGTATTTTAGACATTGCTATATTCAATCATAGTTGAAAGGGACCTTTAAAGGTCATCTAGTCCAATCCCTCTGCAATAAGCAGGGATGCCTTCAACTAGATCAGGTTGCTCAGAGCCCTCTCCAGCCTCACGTTGAATGCTTCCAGGGATGGGGCATCCACCACCTCTCAGGGCAACCTGTTCCAGTGTTTCACTGTAAAATTTTCCTCCTCTTATCTAGTCCATATCTACCCTATTGTAGTTTAAAATCATTACCCCTTGTCCTATCAATCCCAACAGGCCTCTACTATGCCATAAAAAATTAGGAAAAACCACTGGAAGTGAAAGCGAAGGGTCTTTCCTGAGACCACAGAAAATTTTAACACTACTGTAGTTTGCTTGCAAAGAGACTTGGGGAATATATGTAATTAAATCAAGAAAGACGTCCTGACGCACAGAAGCAAATAACTAGCTTAAAGCCTCCAGCTGATTTTGTTCATCAAAACACTCCAGTGACATGGACGAGGGTCAGCCCACTGGTACCTGGCCAGCAGGCTCCCTTTCAAAAGATGCATATGTGATTTCCTACCTGAACTGAGTTGAGGTGACAGTATCCGTTCAGTGGAAATCGGATGACGTGCGTTGAGTCGTGATTCCAGCCGGCGTTGACAGAATTACACATCACATCGCCGATTTCTGGAAACACTTCTTCTATCAATGACTTATCGCCACTCAGTGTAATCCTCTCTCCAAGATCTGGGGCAACCCGCACCACCAGGCACTCACAAGACTTTGTGAAGCGGCCACTCTCCCGGTCCTGTTTCCACCTTTCCATCTCTCCCAGCATGGGCTGAAGCTGGAAATACTTCGCTTCTTCATATAACAAACTGTAGTCCTGAAAGACACATGCATTACTGTGCACAATTAAGAAAGAGGCATTGCTAATGTGGCACTTAATGTATATGGTTATTCAGGCCAACACCACTCTAGGTCTGCAACCCTTCAGACATAGCTACTAATTACTGTGTAGGAAGTGTAATAAAATAACAGAACAAGGAAAAAATAACCATTAGCCACTTGAAACGGGCTGAGTATAGCAGCACTTTTGTGGGGAGGGAGAGGCTATGCTTGCTCAACTCCCTTCTGCAAAAAAATCCAGGCAAAAAAAAAAAAAAATCTCACTTTTCCCCATATTTTATCCCTATAGTGATGTCATAGAATAATGACCTCATTGAACAGATGGAACAGAATTCAATCAGGATTCAGAAAATTCATCACTAGGATCCATCGCGTCTTACAGCAACACTAGCAGGCATTGTAACAGGTATAAGAATGTAAATGAGGGTGCCTGCAATGGTTGTTAGTGTAAAATGATTCTGATATTTGCATAATGTTTGCACATATTACTGCATTTTAAAAATTAAGTATTTTTTAATACCTCCCCATTTTGCCACTAGTATTGTTTACTACATTGTCTCAATGCCAGAGCAGAGAGAATGCATTTCTAGGCATAGCCAGCACAGAAGTAATTTAGAACTGATGATGTGGAGTCTGCCTACTGCCATTTTTTAAATTTAAAAACCATTTAAAAAAAAAATCTTGTTTTTCTAGGTTTAAGAGCATAAAATTATTTGGAAAATATTTATACAGAGAAAAGTGATACATGAGAATTAGGGAAAACAGAAACAAAGAGAAGACTGCTAACAATCAATATAGTCCTGAATTTGAGCTAGAAACCACATACTTGATGTGAATGGGACACCTAAATCAAGCTTAAAATACTGCTTACGTTTAATGCATAACAAAAAACATCACCTACTCTCTATATTTCTAAGAAACATGAAGTGCTGTTTATTTTAATCGCTGATTTTTTTGTACACCTTTGAGCACCACTGGGGAAGACACCCCTTTGAACATCAGAGTTGGGTGAACTTGCCAGGAGTTGCATTTTTAATTTCGGCACAGCTACAGTACATTTATGTGTTTAAAAGGCTCTACACATGTAATTTCTTAATATTGTATGAAAGGTGGCTTTTCCTTTTCCCGTATTTCTGATTACCTCCAGGATAAGCGCCAAGAGCAGCACAAAGATGCCCTAAGACTTCAAAAGAGGGAAATTATCAGCTGGTTCCAAACTCCCACATTTTTCAGGGAGATCTACCCTTGTCACAGCATGGGAGCAACAAGGATGCGTCTACAGCAGATGACTCAAAGGTTGCTGAAATTCAGCTCTTGAACTCAACCTCACACCTATTATGCCCCAAACACCTGAAAAGCTGTCTCAGATACATGGGACAAAAGGCAGCATACCAGTGTGAACAGCTCTAACCCTTCCCCATCACTTCTCCTGTTCAATCCCAATTGCTGTATTTCCCACAGTGAACTAGGGGCACAGCCAGCTGCACTGATGTGTGTTCATTAAGTAATGATAAAGATCTGTTCTGATTGCAACTATGGTCCCCAGCTTTCTGTCACCACATATACACCCACATACCTACTAGCAGATAAACATCACATGCAGTCTGAAGCTCTGCCTCTGCAGACTAATGTCTAACATGGTGAACTACCACAAATTTGTTATTGAAAAGAAAAAAAAGCAGGATCTTTAATAAGGTTTAAATAATGAACATGGAACTACTCATCCCTGACTTCTCTCAAATTCCAAAATTAGACTTGCAGTATGCCTTCAAGAGTCTGAGAGAGAAAATATTCTATGACTTAATGCTCAAATATTACCACGTATGCAGTTTATTTTGTCAATACTGTGATTCCCACAACATTTTCTTAATTTCAGTGTGGGAATGGAAACTGGAGCTGCTGCAATCAGAGGAGAAGCATAAAAACGGATGAGAGGACAAGTCATCAGCCAAGCTCATGAGCAGTCAGTTGCAGACTGTAACATCCTTTCTGTTTCCATCAGTACCCTACAATATTAATTTCCCAAGGTCAAACCTGGCAAGGTTGCTTCATTACACTAGAGTCAGGAGGGGAAAATTTAATACTGATGCCACTCTAGGAAAGGAAGATACCACTTTAGCAACTCCATGCTTACTTTTGCCACGTACATGAAATCAAACACACCATACCCTGCAAGTCCCTCTTCCCTGTCTAGGGCTCTCTGACTACACACCAGATCCTTGCTTTACCAAGGATCATGCAAAACACCCGAGTCCCTTGAAATCTCACCTTGAAATCATCAGGAATGAGGAGTTTCGATGTCCTTAAGAAATTCAAGATATATCTGAACATCTGCCCGTCTCTGTCAATGAAATAATGCTGCTTGAGACTGTCGAGGACAATGGGCTCTGTGCCATCAAAAAGCCGGCCAATTCTGGAGAGGAAACAAGAGAAGAGTAGCAGAGTCAAACCAAACTCAGCTCAAGAGTTGCTCAAATGGCCCAACGCTACAAAACCCTCTCACACATACTTCACCGAAGCAGCTCTGTGGCTCTGCTCCATAAGAAAAGGGTTGTTTTCAAACTATGGTTTAAGCCACATTTTCCAGTATGGCCTCAGGAACTTCCAAGCAGCACAGCAGGGGAAGTGGATGGGAGGTGGAAGAAAAGTAGTCAGGGCAGCAGCTTCTTGGACCCACCTCACTGCCCAAATCTGTGTCTCATGAGATGACACAATTATTTTGGGCACCTCTTTTGATTGCTCCCTTCAGCACACCCCATCCACTCTAGATGCTCCAACACCATTGATTGACTCATTCTGCTTTCCAGAGCACTGCACAGTGAACTTCATCTAGTTTGGAAACTGTACCTGGGAAATAAGTTTGTTTTGGTTGTTTGCTTGGTTTTTGTTTGTTTGTTTTTTACACCCAGATCACCTTTTGGATACCACTACTGCAACCAACGCTAAGGCAGGCACAGCTGAGGGGCAGCACATTGTGGGAATATGAAGATGGGGGTATGAAAGTGATAACACTTCAACGTGAGCTAATGATTTAATGTAAAAGTTAACCGGTTGTGGCAGGTATCAATCAGAACTCTCTATAGCAATCTAGAAAAATGTCACAATTCTTAGAGACCACCTACTGACCACCAGAACCACACAGTTACCTAGAGAGCCTCTGCTTGCCAGCAGGCCTTGCAGCATCAACCTCTGGGTGCACATACATTTCTGGATGCGGGTCTCTCAAAACAGCTTTAGTTAGAGCAAGAGGAAGGGCTGAAAACTCCAAACAAAACCCTCAGAGTAACACGAAATAAATGTTTCAATTCTACACTGGGGCATTTGCAAAACAGTCCTGAGTCAGTGGTGGTTTCCCAATGAAATGAGCAGGAGTGACTGGTAGGTCTAATTTTGTGTGCCTGCTCATATGCCTGTACATGCAATGTGGAAGTACTTTTTGAATCTTTCCAACACCAGAACTGTAAACAAATGGTCTCGAAATAGCTCACTTGTGATACGTCAAACAGACACGCCATGTGAAACACTGCCAACAATTTGGGGCACAATTTCAGAGCTTTGTCACAACCTGCTACATTCTGTAATATTCTGCAGATACCTCATTTCCAATATTTTAAAGGAAAGTCTTGTTCATACATAGTTTTCTTTCCCAACATAACCAATCTGTTTTGAGAATCAGCACAGCAAAACCTCCACAGTTTACTAGAGAGCATACAATAGTATTACCAGACATCAGCATGGAGGTAGGGGACCAACAGACACTTTTATTTCCTGATCACACTCAGTTTGTGGTATAGGTAAGGTACAAGTCTATTTTCTCAGAAAAAAAGGATAGAGCAAGCACAATAAACAGTCATGGCATACTCTTTTTGTTTTAAAAGAAGTGAATAAACAACCATTCCCCACCTCCAGTCGGAAAAAAAAAAAAGCCACCAAAAACTCAGAGGTTACGAGCCCTCCTGGCTGCAGGAAGCATCCCATGCTGAGAGATGCCACATCCCTTGGCCAGCAGAAGGCAATTTTCAGGAGGGGTTCAAGAGGCAAAAGACAGAAGTGGTTCCCAAAGAGGGGGAGGCAGCAGGGCTTGCAGCAGCATCTCAGGGAACTGCAGAGAGTCAGAGTTCCAGGTGACTCTGCACAGTGTTACACCCACAGCCACACACTTTCCCTTTGAAAATGGCACAGACAATCCAAATTGAGTTTGGAGTGATGTCTGTGCCCTGAGCAGGTACATATACAAGTTCTGAACAGAATACAAGTCTCATCTATAGTTTCTCACCGGCTGAGAGGAGACTAGGAAATAAAATCCCATTAACCTCAGTTGGCCATTAACAATTCTGTAATAAATGCCTGAATCAAATCAAGTCACATGAAATCCATAGCATATAAGGAATGAAATATATTTTGCAGCATGATCAAGTACAAAACATTTCTGTTAAAAGCCATCCCTTAGAACTATTCAAGCCTTCTTCCTCGAAGACTTGTTACTGCCTGCCCTGCTGCTCAAAATTTAAGCTGCGAAAGCCCATATAATACAGGCTCCTGTTGACTAGGGAGATGAACCACATTTTATGTCTGAAATGGAAGTACTCAGCATTTAGAATTAATTTTCCCCTATACTCAAGCAAGTCATCTTGAAATGTATCATGGAATTCACACACAAAACATGTATTTGGCCAAGTCAGTCATTACTGAAATGTATAATTGTAATTGCTTTCTGCAGCATTTTCCTAGTTCTAAATTACTTATATAATTACATATTTTAAACCTCTAGGCTTTTTGTCTCCATTTTATTAATTGTTTAGAGAAGAGCAAGATACTATCAGAGGATGGAGCCTTCTGACAAAACCATAATGCTGAGGAGAGCACACAGCCATTGGGAATGCTACCTGGGACCTCAAAGGCTTCGGGCATGGGCTGGAAGCATTAACTGAAAACACTGCCTTAGTGCTCGGCTGCAGCAGCAAAACCCCAGGAATTGCAAAGTCCCAATTCCCTTCTGGCTCCCCTCCCAGGATCACTTTGCAATACACAACTGCACTTTCACATACTAAAACAGTTTTGGAAGGGTAGACCCCCAGCAGAGAGGCTCCTGTAAACAAAATTAAAGCTTTCTTTTCATTTTGAGATGGAAAAACATAGATTCCCGCATCCTTCACATGGCCTTCAGGGAAAAACTTGAGATAATATGGGATCCAAATCTGATGACATGGTCCTGCTCCTAAGCTGCATTTGCTACACCCATCAGGAGAGGAGACTGGGCTATGCCAGGATCCAGGGAACAACCAGCATCTTCCCCCTCCAGCCTCACCACGCATTCTTGGGTTCCTAGAGGCAGTGGCAAGCTCCCTCCTGTGCCTCAGTTGGCAACTCTTTTATATGACACAATCTGAGCAACCATCCTCCCTGTAGCTCTGCTGGTACTCCTGCTTGGTCTCACACTGCAAACATAAATGCTTAAGAGACACCAGTTTGCTGGCACAAGAAAGGACTGGTAAATCATTCTTATTTTAATTATTTTAATTTCACTTCCCAAGAACACCTGAAAGATGTTTTTCCCCATCTTCTTCTTGACAATATTGGCTGATGATTGGCAAAGACACCTTCTTTGTTTTGAATGACAAATACATAACAGCAAAATGGATTTTTGAAATAGGAAAACGCTCTGAAGGAGGCTTGCAAAATAAGCTGATAATTATATACAGAATTAGCCAAATATCAAGGGTAAAGGATAAGAAACTGTAGTCCATTTACACGAAAACGTGCTTCTGAAATATTTAATTAAAACTAACAGGCTGAAATTTTCTATGTATCAAGAAAATTAATGTCCCATGGGTTGAAAGTGCGACCTCCAATGGGTAATAATTAATGTCTGTGGCTTTAAGTATCATATTCCACTGTCAGAATAGGGTTGAAAATATAACCAGTGGAAAATCCTGCTTCCATTGAGAATTTGGTTTTACTTTAAGGACACAAACCTGGGTCAAGCCTGGTGTACGGCCAAGCCACAAGCCTGGGTTTAGTGGAGAAAAAACAACAGGGCATGTAAAAGATCATTGTTCTAATTCCATAAAATACTACAGAGATGGATCTTTCTTCCCACACACCAGCACTCCCATAACAGCATTTCTAGACCAAGAAGCTAGCACGGGAAGATGACATTGCTTACAGGATTTCTCAAATTCTTCAGAATCAAGTCCTGCTTCTCAAGTATAAAAATATACTCAGTCTGCAGCAAAACTGTATACACAGTGTGTTTATAACTTTGCTCTCTCAGTGTATAAATATTTATATATATTATTATACACATAAAGGGAAAAGACTTCGCTTTAGTATATTATGCCTCAGCTGAGAATGTGGGAAGGCAGCAACAATTAGGAACAAGATGGTCAATATAAAGTAAACAAGATGACTATGGCAAAACTCAGTGCCAAGAAAAATGACACAGTTCTGCATGGCTTCACTGGACAAAGCTAAAATTCTTCCCTTTTGTAATCAAAGGAATAAGCATGCAGAATATTACATCACTTGCAAACTAAGGCACAAATAAACCTCTTTTTTCTCTGAGAAAATAAACGTTTCTTACAATTGAATACATTCAGTATATTATTTCTCATTTTAACTTCTTTATCAGAGAACACTATGAACTCAAAAGTAACTGAAAATCTTTTGCAATAAACTACTTTCAACGGTTCCTTAGCTGTTAAGATTTCCCTGCCCCCCATGTCTTTCATAGAACAACAAAAAGGGATCAAAACTGGTGCCAAGTCCTTTTATTAACCCACTGGAGGGAACCGTGCAGCAGGAGGAGCATCCGCAGTGCCCTGCCACCTGCAATTCCATCCTAATGGTAAGGCAAGTAACTGCCTCAGACTTCACCAGGGTTGGATATTCAGCAGCAGGCAAAGAGCAAAATACGCATGAAAACAGATCTCTCTCCCCCCAGTAATGAATCACATGGCAAAGAACAGGTATTTTATTTGAAATCTTACTCACTTGGTTGGAGCCATTGTGGTAAAGTGATTAGGAGTTTGGCCCTTAGAAGTTAAGTGCAAGTTTTATTATAACATCATTATATTTACATGGCTAATGGGAATGCTTATTTAACACTCTGGGGTGCGTGGAGAGTGAGTTGAAACAGGTTTTTACTTTTTTTTTCTCTGCAACTTTTTAGTCCAAGCTGTCCTTATTAATCTCTTTTCATTTTCTTTTACTGAGAGCTCAAAGGCAATTTGCATAAGAGCCCATTATAAATCAGATCTGTTTAATAGTATGCTCATCTCATGGCTATTTAATTTTACTTCCTCATATGTCTAAATTATACAATTTTGCACTGTCCCCTAGAAGCCAGTACAGTTGAAGAGGGATCCATGCCAGGGAGAAATGCTATCCTACCCAAGTAGAGAATGATGAGGT